AAATACTATAATGGACACGGCTTAGCTCTACAGCGTACACAATCAAAGAAATAGTGTAATGTTTTTAGTTAGACGCACAAATCTCCACATTGTGTCTGCGTTAGTTTATACAGCTATTTGCACAAATTCGTGACAATGTACTTTGGGGAACTGCCGCCAACATTAATAGAATATTTGTATTGTTAGTATAAGTTACAAACGGGACCCCGGAGTGTCTGTGAGAGATAAGTTCAAAGAAATTAACATTGTTGCATTAATGTCGCAGAAATTTATGACAATGTAGTTTAAATCTTCTCGTTAAATATAGCAACAGACATCAAACAAAGAACAAAAGCTAACCAGCTGTTCTTGACAGTCGTCTCCACAAAGTCAGAAATATTATATTGTTCGAAATCTAAACTAGAAATCAAGAATAATTGTAATCAAATAAAAAATCTGTTACAAAATCTAATGCTCAAATTTGAAAATCACGGGACGTTATACAAAGCAACGATAGGTAAATACGCGTCAAGAACACACCACCAAAAAGGCCGTTGGTTTTTTTTTTGAAGGACACTTTGCAGTTGGCCGCTGATGGCCTTGACTGCGCCACCGGAAGAAAAGGGCGAACTGAAGGCTCATAACCCGTAAGGCCGTTGGTTTGATTTGCAACGCCTTATATAGTATTCGTCGCCGACAGTTGGCAGCTATGACGGTCGATTGGCAGCACGTGCAGAGACGTTCCTAACAATATTGTAGTATTACATTATATAAATATAAGGGCAATGTACACATTTCTACACTGAGATCCCTGTTAATATTTTTATTTATTCAATTATTTATTGTGCAAGACATTCACAATTCACATTAAATGAAAGGAAAACACAAAAAAAGGTTCTGCTTACTTCTTAAAGAATTCTTTTCTTACAGACCGAATTTCAGGACACAATAACTAAAATAGACAGCTTTAAGTGCGCAACAAACCAAAAATGGTATAACCCAACAACAATATCATAACAACAACATTAATAATAATAACAACACACACACTCATAGCCCCGCACTAGGAAAACCCTGTATTGCGGGTGCTATGGACACACACAAAGACAAACACAAATTCCACCTAAACTCGAAAGAGAAATAAATATAGGCCTTACAAGTATTTCTCACGGCCCGGGAATCGAACCCGAGACTGCGTGGCAGTCCAACATGAGAACCGTTCGGCCACGAAAGCAGTTATTAAATTATAAACTATGTAAATACTTATATTTCGTAATATAATAAATAAAAATGGATGCAATAGTGGATAAATAAACTATCTATGTCTATTAATGTACTATTATTAAATAGATTATCTATATCCATTAAGTCTCATTTTGAAAATACTTAACGATTTACTTTCGCAAAAGTAATACGAAGTGCGTCCGAAAGTCTGACCGCATGAACACTGAAGGAGTGACAATAGAATCTGCAATTGAGAAAGGAAAAGATAACTGGAACCTAACGAGAGAGCGACAGAGTTTATCCTAGGACCTGAGAAAGCTGAGACGCTCTTTCAGATACCCAGGAGACACAGGGTTATGTTAAATATTGTAAAGAACGGAGACAATATGTAAATTCCTTCAGAGACGAGCCGGAGGCCACTTGATCTGACTGCGTTAGTGTGAGATACGGTTTTTTTATAGAAGTAAGTGACCCCATGGGTCAGCGACACGCTTGTCCATAACAGTGCCACCAAAGTTGCGAGGGGCACTGCCACTGCACCCGTTACCCTAAGAAATAAGTCGACACTCCCATTTGCCCACAATTTCATCAGCTCCTTTGCTCTTTAAAACCGAAACGTACGCAAAGGTACATCTGACGGCAGAATTATGTAGGTAAGGTGGCAGTACTACCCTGGACGCATTCTTTCACAAGGAGCGTTACTGCTACTAAATCGGCCATATCATATTTTACGAAGGCCGACAATGAACCTTATATATATATATACTACTTGCCTTATATACTACCTCATATATATATAGTCTTGCTTACCTTATACGTAGGTCCGTCTTATATACTATATTTAAAATTTGCAATGTACAAAGTCAGAAGTCATCATGAAACTGAAGTAAATATACGCATATGAGTTGAATCCATTTCGGTTTGTATTTGTAATCATTAATTTGTTTTATTTTGTTCTGTATAAGCTGAATAAACGTTTCTTTCTTTCTGTCTTCTTTCTTTCTTACATAATATTATACAGCTTCTGCCTGTACAATATACCTTGAGATTAAATGATTATCACTAGTTACTGGTTTCTTACCACGACATGATTTCTTTTTATTTTCCCGATATTTCGGAACGGTTACACGTTGACTGGCCAACGGCAGATGACAGCTTTAAGAACAGATATATCTGTCCAACCTCTTTCGGTGTCATAGATATGTCTGCTATATATAAAATGAACATGCTTTGAGATTGCTCCATTTACGAGTAGCTTTTTGTTGTACAAAAGCAATGATTGGTTTTAACTTATTACAAATTTAATCAGAATGTGGTAAATTTGATTGTGAACCGAAAATTTCATTGGTTAAAATAATTATATTAGGTCGGTATACGTTTCATAGGCTTTGCCGCCAGACGTGCGCTAGTTTTTTCAACCATATTGCTACCCCTAAAATCTTGCTAAATATTCTTGGGGGACTCTGCATTACACCTTAGTAAATAGTAGAGCTTTATCAATTAGATCATTTCAAGTGTAACTTTTTTTTACAATACCAAGTGACGAGACGAACAAGCCGTGCGCCTGGTGGCAAGCGACACGCCTGTCCATAATAGTTGCACTGCCACTCAGAGCTTTAAATCCTAAAGATCTTAGGGGCACAACCGCTGCGCTACGCCAGTCGCCCTGAGACATAAGTTGACAAGTCCCATGTGCCTGTAATTTCACCAGCAACCTTACCCTTCAAAACCGAAACACAGAAAGCAGAATAGGTAAGGTGGCAGTGCTTCCCCGGACGAACTCTTTCACAAGGAGCTCTACTGGTAATAAACTATAACTTACTTGACCTATGAAATAAAGATATTTTCAATTTTGATGATTATTGTAAAACATTACTACACGACAAAAGTAGACAGTCAGCTTTTAATATCAGGAATAAAACCTCTAATTACAGTCTCCGATTTCGTTACGACGTAAATATGCATGTGAAAACGGAAAAGTTATGAACTACGAACGATTAAGTCCGCTGGAGACGCCGATAAAAGCATAAAAATCGAAATGGGTGCCAACTTCAATTACAGTACCTGGAAACTTTACCTACATAACACAAGAGTGATAATGTGCTAATCTACAGGATCATTTTCTATTGATCTGTAATTTATAGGAAATTGTGTTTTTGCAGTGTTCGGTTTTAAGAAAATCTCTTGGCTCTGCTTTTCAAAAGTAATGTCGCAAACCTAAATAGTTATTAATAATATATAATAGGGAAGATGGTTTCCCCGCACTAGTTTGAGATCCAGTATTTCCTCTGATGAAAAATTCCAAGCAGACTTAAGACCGCAACGGTAATTATATTTTAATTGTAATTAACATTACTACTTAATAATAAATTTTAATTCAATAATAGAGAATAAGGTATTTAATTAATACCATTGGAATAATAGTCAAAAATAGTTTGGTTTGCATTAATGTCTAAACATAACCTGTTGATAACTTTACCATCTCAGTCAGCCGTGGCCATGGGACCTGTAAACTGCCCGAAATGTTGGTTTGTATGATAAAACATACGCGATTTATTTAATTGATTTATTCATTTCCTAAGTGTCACAATATATACGACGTATACGACATAGTTATTTTTTAACCTGTTCTGAATGTTATTCAGAATAAGTACCGAGTTGTACATTGGCTTAAAATAATAATGTGTCAAGTTTGTGCCGGTATAAGACTCTTCAACTTGGCGCGCCAGGTACTCTTAATTTTTGTTAAGCCATCTCCCTGATGAATTGAGTGTTTTTGAAATAGGCCGCCATTTTTTAATGCATTGGGTGGTTTTGAAATAGGCCGCTACTTTTGTAGCTAAATTAAAAAACAACACTAGGTATGGTTTATTACGTAATCTGGGCAATTTTGGACGCACTAATAATTTATTTTTACTAGACAACACTAAATGATAGATACTACAGTACATTTAACAACGTGTTGCTTTGTTACTGTGTGTGTAAGTTCAAAATGTCAGTTACAGTTGGCACTCATAAGTAATTGAAATCTAAGCGTTTCAATTAATTTAACAACCCACTTGCATGTGCCAAGTTATCATCTCTGTAATATAATATAATATAAAAATAGGTTATGTTATTAGTCATCTAATGGTCATCTATCTTGCATTCTTCATTTGTTTAATGTCGGGTAGTTTACCGAGATCTCCGATTTCACCTTGTTTGTTGGGTAAGGAGCTGTAAATATTCATGAACGTTCAAAACGTCTAGTTAAATATTGGCTCAGCATAAATATCGTTAACTTAGCTTCGTTACTCGAGAGATAAACTTCTGTTGTTAATATTACTTTTAACAGGTTTCGAACAATGGTTTTTCGCTTGTTAAAGTATTCGTCATTAGGTGGCCCCGACAGAATTTCTTATTTTTATTTGAATTCTCATGAAATGGTACAATTGAATAAACAACGCGTTAGAATATTAACTAGAAAGTCTTTGATATTTAAATTTGTATTGAATTGATATTCAATTATTTTTTGTGAAATTACTCCACTAGTTTGTACAAAAATAGTCCACGTACAAAAATATTCCACAGACTTTCTATTTCCAATTCAGTTTTGACTAGGCTTTTCCGATTACTTTTCCCTTTTTTAAAAATATTGTGGGTAGCTCAATTTTTAGTTGAATGACAAAATAGGATGCACTATAGGTTACTTTTCACTAACAAGTTTTGTGTGAAGGCAAAATTTGCTTTCTTATCCTCTGCTGTACCGTCGCAAGGTTGCAAATTGCCTGTGTTTATCATCTCGTGTTCTGTTGCAGTATATGCGTGACGGTGGTGGTGCTCAACGTGCATTTTCGGTCGCCGCAGACACATCGCATGGCGCCGTGGGTCAAGCGCGTCTTCATACACATACTGCCTCGGTTACTATTCATGAAGCGACCGCAGTACAAATTTGAGACGACCAGGTACATTCTTAAGAATCTATACAACCTCAAATGGCTTTGGTTGAGTCCGCATAATGTAAAATGTAATGTAATGTAAATGTGTTGGATCAATCATTTGGAAAGAATATATAGTAAAATTGACGATATAAAAAACACAAATTGACCTCGAAATTTTACAAGAAAAGCGCTGTATTTAATATGTACTTTAAACACTTTGTTTCTATAATAAATCTAATTTTATATCAGTTTTGAGATCTGACAACTTAAGTTTTGCGACACAAGGGTAATCTTCGCTAAGTGGGCGTATTCAAGTTCATACTAAAGATACTTGGGCAATTTTTGTTCTATTCAGTTCGTGTTATCAATTTAACCGACGAGCGGAACTCGCTGTTTATAATTCTGGGGCTAAGAGCAAGTGTAAATTAATTAGAACTTGTTTGAGACTTATCTACGAGAGTTGTTTCCTTCCGCTCACTCGCAACTAAATTCATTATTAATAAACTTTAAGAAGGCGAAAAGCGCCGTGCTTTGAAATCTCTGTCCTCCAAGGGCCTTCAAGTTACAAGAGTACTTCGTATTTAAAGGTTGCCTAACGTGGGTCGCGACTCGTGCCACTTATTTGAAGACTCCTCAACACTATAGAAACTAAGCACAGCCGCGCGCATCCGAGTTATTTATCTCGGAAAGTGCGCCATTCATGCAGTGGTTACTTTACGCTAGCTTCGCAAAGGTAAATGTTGTTGACCCGAGTAGACAATACATGTGCGCCGTTTTTCGACTGGCAGCGGCGGCGTGATCGGTGTGAAATCGACGTTGCACATATTTTTCTCGTGTTCAAAAACACTAAAACATCGTACAAAGCAACCTTGTACTCATTTTCAACGTTTTTTCCACTTTAACTTGAAAGTTAGCAGGTAATTTACTATGGAAGTAAACTATTTTTCCGGTTTTAGATCGCGTATATTTGTTTTTTTTAAATAAAGCAACGACTGTACCACATAAGTCAACCATGACCATGCCCATGGGACCTGTAAAGGGCCGGCCACGTTGGTTTATTAGAAAAAAACAAATGTACGCGATTTAAATCCGGAAAAATAGTTTCATTTCCTATGTGTAACAATCGCAAAAACCCAAGAACTCGAAATTTACTATGGAGTTTGACAGTCCAACAACAGTAGCATTCATACGCCATCTAGCTGGATGAATAGTCAGTAGGCGCACAAATTTCAATTTAGTAGTAAGTACATTATTGTATTGTAATATAGTAAATAAGTAACTGATCCTTCATTAAAATGACATAAATGTCCACCACCCCGATTTTACCACATTTTCATGACCGCGGCTGCGCGACACTCATGTCCCGTCTCACCGTATAAAAGCATTGTCGTCTTTCGCGACCTACCTAATGGAAAACAGCCTATATGACGGCTAAACAGTCGCAAAAGAGGGCCAAAGTGTATAACGGTCAGACCCCTTTCTGCCCAAGCTATTCGTCGAATTACCATCTCTTTTGGATTCGTGAGGAATGTCGTCCTCGAGATAACGCTTTTAATTTTCCAAAGGACTTGACAACTTTTGTTCGCGCAAAAGTTTTAGAGTAATTTGAATGTAATTTAAATATAACGACGATGCTGTGAATTGGTAAGCGATTGAATTGTGCAAATTAGCCAGTTATATTTATTATACTATTGTGCCCTGGAGCCTAACTTTTGGTGTTCTAAGCATTCTTCAATAATAGAAATAAAGGAAAAGAATTCCCATTGTCGGCACTCCACAACTTGTTAATTTCTACTTAGAAATAAATAGCAAGAAGAGCAGTTGCGAAACTTCATTTTGAATAAAATAAAAAGCATCAAAAGTTTACGGAAACAGAAAATTCTTCATTTATAACTTTTGCATTTCTGAGTACCCGGGCGTGATAGACACACTTTACGGGGCGAAGAGAAATGATGAAAAAGACATTCGCAGTTACGTTTACGGCCGTCCGAAACCGGAACTATATTTTAGGCTCACAAACAAATAGTGAGATGGGTACGGGCATGAAATAAGATGAATAGTTTCCGTCTGCGGAATATTTCCCACTATTCCGGTCATCAATATTGGCCGTTGGAATGATCCAAAGATCCAAACAGTTCTCCGCTTGCTATTGTACGTCGTTTACCGAATGAACCACTATTAGGAAGGTTATGGAGACAAATATTGGCTTTACTGTATTGTTATTACGTAGTTATTCTTAATGCCTACTAAATATTTAGAGCTTTAGGAACAATTCAAGGAATCAATATCTGTTTCACAAATTAATTGGTGCGGTCAAGCAACTGCATGGCTGTGGTTATATTGGTGCGGTTGTTTGTATCTGATATTCATGGTTGGTTGTCAATTTAGTAAAAATATTAGAAAGTAGTCACAAAATGTGACGGGTCAAGGCTATAGGGACCAAAAAACACAACCTTATTTGTGGTGCGTTTATGAAATTCATTATCCGTCCTCTGATTAGCGAGGGATCGAAATTTGACTCGGATGAGACAATGGATCGTTTGATTAACTATTAACCTCGTAACGAACGCAACTGGTCCTGAACCCAACGACCCAGCTTGTTATTCGATTTATTATATCCATCTACGCTGGTGCGAGACTGGCCTGTTTAGCGAGGTTATGTTCCAACTAACAGCATTTGTTTTGATAAATATGTTGTGCCCTAATCACTGTCATAATAACAGCCTTTTCTAAAATTTAAAGCACCCCATTAATGCACCCCTGCCTTTCCGCCAGAGATGTGCGACGTAGCGAAGCAGTGTGCGAGGAAAAAAATTCAGCTATAGGATTACTTAATTTTCCTAGCTTCGCTTAGCGCAGCTCCGACCCTTTTCGGGTTAGCGGAGACATAATCTCAGTACAGAGTACTAAAAAATCCGACCTCAAAAGTGATTAATCCTTAGTTTGCTACCCTTAGAGGTGGAATATTTTCTTCCAATTTAAATGGGACTACTAGTTTGTTATAATTATTAATACAAAGATCGAAACACTCAGAAAAAAATCCTTCGATCCGGCCGGATTCGAACCGACGTCTTCTAGCTTACCGTGACAGACGCTATACCAACTCACGTCACGCATATACTGCAACAGAACACGAGATGATAAACACAGGCAATTTGCAACCTTGCGACGGTACAGCAGAGGATAAGAAAGCAAATTTTGCCTTCACACAAAACTTTCTAGTGAAAAGTAACCTATAGTGCATCCTATTTTGTCATTCAACTAAAAATTAAGTTACTCACAATATTTTTAAAAAAGGGAAAAGTAATCGGAAAAAGCCTAGTCAAAACTGCATTGGAAATAGAAAGTCTGTGGAATATTTTTGTACAAACTAGTGGAGTAATTTCACAAAAAACAATTGAATATCTATTCAATAAAAATTTAAATGGGACCAGTTCTAAGGTACCCTCTTTCCAACAAAAAAAGAATTATTAAAATCGGTGCCAGAGTTATCGCGAACCTCCTCCATTTTTGAAGTCGATTAAAAATAGCGAGAAATGTGTGCAAAACAGTATAGGAAACTAGAACAACTGAAAGTATGACACTAACTGACACTGACATATCGCCACCGCTCACCCCACCACACCGTACCCCGCCCTCGCATAGCTGAAAAGAGTTGTAACGCATCCTCGCACATCTCTGGTGGAAAGGCAGCCTGAGAGTCTGTCCTAAGAGGTTGTCCTCAACTGGCTTTGGTTGATCCGCATAACAGTGAAAGTGTTGAATCAATCAATTTGGAAAAAATATATAGTATAATTGAGGATATACACTGATTATTATACGATGTGAAAACACGAGTCCTAAAAATGTTCGCGATAGAAAAAAAACACAAACTTACTTCAAAATTTTATAAAAAAAGTGTTCAATGGGTACCTTATATATATCAATGATTTTTTTAATATCAATTGAACTGAATAGAACACGTAATTGTATACGATATATATTTTTCTAATGGCTTTAATTACGTTTGTAAAAAAATAAATTCTGACATAAAGCCAGTGTCCCTGCCGCTCGACCCATGCAAAATGAACCGTATTAGTACGAGAAATTTTTTTATTCGGTAGTATAGACACAAAAGCGGTACATTTACAATGCAATCAAAATTATAAAAGTCATTTCCATTGAATGCGATAACCTCATAGAGGTCTAGGCTTAAACTATCTACAACTATCTAACAAGCATAACGTCTGAAACTTAAATAGCATGAACAAGTTTTAAATTCTAAACCTTAGAATAATATAATAACGCATAGAATGATAGTTTCATATCAAACGAACTGTCACAAGTGAGGCAAAAATCAAATTCATGTAGGCTAGTTTTAGTAGTAGGTTCATTTTCGGTTTTAGTGAATATTTATATAAAAATACAAGTTCCTTGTGGAATGTGATGTTAGTATCTATTTTATGTTTGTCTGACGAATTTTTACACTCATTTACCGCACATTTCGTCATTTTTAGCTAAAATTCTGGAGCTGTTCGCATGTGCAAGTTGACCTTGAGCACTGAAGGCCCGCTCGCTCGTGTAGGCCCTTTGGGAGCACTTTAATTTGCTTCACTTAGCGTGTGCGGGCTAGGTTTCTATGCGTTATTATTCTAAATTCTAAGCCCAAAAATTAAAAAAAACAAAAAGGATTATAATGACATTTCTGTGATGAAAATACTACATAAAACTTATTGGAAATTAAACTGCTTATTAATTCACTTACAATAAATATTAAATAGAAACTTTACAGGTCCCATAGTCACTGCTGACTTAGATGGTAAAGTCATCAACAAGTTATGTCTAATATTAATACAAACCTAAGAGCTCGATAATGATACTTATTTTTAAGTAAAAGAACATTTAAAGCAACAATATATCTACAGATACTGAAACAAGGTCTTTTACCCAAATTTGAGCTTTATACAAATAGCTGAATTTCCAGCGAAGCTCCCATATAAATATATCTAAAGTTTTCTCATAATACCCACCGACACGCTCAACTTTTATACCCAAATATATATAACCAAATTTTACTTTCTCGTGTATCCTCCCGAAGAGAATGTGTCTAGATTATCGTGTATAACTCTTAAATTTATAATCTTCATTTTTGAACGATATCACGATTATCGATAACACGATATCTCATTGTGTACCCAAATGACCTATCAACACGTTCACTCTAAAGTGGACAAGCAAATGAAGTATTTCGTTAGAATTTACATAAAACCTAAACACATAAATAATAAATAATTTTTGGATGTTCAGTAGGTAACATTGAGTATACTGCACACAACAGTCTTCTTTCTGTGGGCTAGAGACGTACATAACGATTCGATTTTTATGAAGACCGATTCAATTGCATACGATCTAGCGATTTTTAAGCGAATTGATTCAAAATTAGGTCGAATCGAATCGTCTAGAACATATTCATAATTTAAACATAAATCTCATCTTATTAATGATTTCGTCAAGTACAGAAACGGAAAATACAGAGGAAGACTGTGCTTTGGACATTAATTTAGGATTAAATCATGAAATAAAGGAATTTTATTTGTTACAAATTTTGAAACGATTTTTATGAGATTATGATCCATGGATCGATTCAAAGGCATATAATCCATTACGATCCCAAAAACCCATCCAAAGAAAAAAAATCGCACATCCCTATTGTAGGCCCTGCGTAACGAACTTTGAAGACCATCTCTCTACAAAGCTGCTTCACTCCAAGGTCCATGTCGCATCAGTGGCTTTTGTTATTGTAGGAATAATTGCGCATTTAACCTACATCTCACCTAATAGAAAGTGACAATGAGGTCGACGACGGGTCATGTACACCTACTAACAAGTACTGCAACAAGGTTTATCTAACGCATAACTTTAAGGCTCAGTTTACATTGCTGCGGAACGGAAGCGCCAATTTGGCCTCGCTGCGCGTTAAGGCGCGCATTGTCACTAAAATGCTCGAGCATTTGCAGGCATGTCCTAGCTTTCTCGCGACTTGAGGTTGTAGTATTTCATCGACGTTTGACGTCCACTGCGTCTGCCTTCGCGCCACTTCCCGCGGATTTGCGCAAACATTCCCGAGCATGCGCGAGAAATCGCTGGAATATTCGCGACTTGTTTTTAGCACGTATCTAGTTTGTACGTTACACAATTTTTTATTATATAAATTGACATAACGTTAATTTTTCTACGTATGAATTTCATTACAAAACTTCCATTCCGTTCCGCCGCAATGTAAATTGAGCCTAAGGTTCTATTAAACGCCACCGTGAAAATGATCTTCTACCGTGAATATTATAGTATACTTATCTAAGATTATGTTTATGTCAGGTCGAGGTACACAGCCTGCGGTGTTGTGGTCCGTTGCGGGGGCGCAGCACGGCCGCTGTATCCCTATAGATTAGCAGCCGCTGAGGACGACTGCTGTGCGCCCGGCGCGTGGCCCCCGCCCGTCGCGCATCCCCCAAGGCCGCTCACGCGCACGCCAAGCAAGGAAGACTTAACGCACACCACTTACCTTAACTCTGGGTACTACCTTTGCAATACACCTACCTGCCAATGTAGAATACTAGGTACCAAAGAAACGCCGAAGTAGTAATAAAGCCAAATGGATTTGTAGAAAGTGGCATGATAATGAAAAGAGTTCTTCGTACAAGACTTCGTAAAAAGTATCACGCTCTTCGTCTTTGCACGCACCAAATAAGACATTAATGATGATTAGTTCACTTAAATTTCTCTAGGATGGGCGAGAGCAATCGCTTCGGCGGCAGCTGCATGGTGCACGGCTCTAACGAGGGTGCTGGCCTGGCTGCCGCGGGCTTAGCTGAGGACGAGGCATTAAGTCCCGTACCCGACCCCCCGCCTGGCTTCAGCCACTCCGCGTGCCCCCCAGAGGTGCACAAAACCTGCTTCTGTGTGCGGTTTATTGCTGAGCACACGAGGATGCTTGAAGACTCGACTAAGGTTTGTATCAGGTTTAATTAATAAAATCATACTCGCGCCTATGGTATGATATATAGTGGCGGGCTGGCTTTAATCGACTTTGCCTGTACGTTTGTGTCAGCTTGTGGCATCATTATGTAGCTCCCAAACGGATAAAGTGATGTCAAAGTTTGTATGCTCTTTTTTACTTACCTAGTCATGCAATAACCACTTAGTTACATTTTGTGTATTGGAGACTTTATTTCGCAATAACAGTGCACCTATGCCTTAAAGTTGATGAATATGGGTTATAAAAGAATTTACGGTATGTGGCAGCCGGAGTATTATACCAGCCATAAAATACTTAAAGAAAATATTTTACCTACACATATTTTATAACCATACAGTAACCATACATTGGGACGGTTATAAATGTCGTAGGATTATTACTAATGCAAACGTTTTAATATTAAACATATTAAAAATGCTAAACGAGTGAAAAACAACAATTTATGAACATGACATTTATGTAAAAAATAAATTATCTGGCAAATAACAATGGAGTATGAAATTTTAACATGTTTTTAAAGCTCACGTTTGCCAAAAGTGGCTTTAACGGCCTTTCTCTTTCAAGTGTAGATATTGTAGGTTAATGCTGCTAAATAACTAAATAGTTGAGTAACTGCATAAGTTTCTCGGTGCGCTGACGGCGAAAATAGTAATTTATGCAATCGTCGCATGCCGAGTGGCCTAAGTAATAGGTACCTACGAGATTTTAAGACCTAATTACGTAATGATTGCATGCAATACTTTTTCTACGAGTAATTTAAAATTTGAAAAAGAACCAATATACATAATGTATATTTTGCTGACAATCCATGACAATAAGGAACTCAAAGGAAAGCCAAAACAAAAAACCAAAGAGATAGAATTGAAGTAACCAAGTACCGCTCTATATTTTAATTAATCATTTTCTTTATAGAGGTTTATGGGCCGGTTGTAAGACCTTTAGGCCAATTTAACCAACCAGGAGGCAGTAGAGTGTTTGATTAGCGTCATATTTGATATTTTAATTAGCAAAAATACGACGTTCGTTTTTTGAAACTCATTTTCCAAACAAATTTTCAGTTTAGTAGCGAGTACCATAGACAACATAATTTTGGTTCAGGGCCTTACCATGAACTCTTATTACAGTTCAGTATAAGTTCGTAACGACAAAAAAGCGGGATGGTGATATACACTTCATGTAGCGCTGTCTCACAACGATTCATTTTAGGGCTGTAAACTGAATCGTAATAAGAGTTCATGGTAACACCCCTGGACTAAAAACAGCGCCTTTGTAATGTGGTTTATGGATTTAATATAATTGACAGATACATTGACAGTACAGGAGTAGAAAAACGCCATTTTACAAAACCCAATTCAAAGTTTTCTAATAATTATGTATTTGTATAAGAATAAGAAATTCGTAAGATCTGCTGACTCGATCAGTAGCTCAGTTAGTCGAGGGCGGTAGCCCCGGCATGGCAACAGACACTGGTTCGAATCCAGTCAGAAAGAAAGAATTTTTGTTTATGTTCGATCTTTATATCGGTAATCATAACATATCTAAGGGTCGTATTCTAGAACTCTACTCAATGCTCAAGTCAGGATTTGAGTATGGTTTAAAGCACTCGAAATCATACTCAAGTCCCTGGCATTAGGGTCGTATTTCCAGTGCTTGTGTTTCCATTGCAATCCTGACTTGAGCATTGAGTAGAGTTCTAGAATACGACCCTAAGTTTCTAAGCCATGGATTTCTTGGTAAAAAAATGTTACAACCTTTAATCCACTCTGAACTTCCATTTTAATACAAGTACGAATTTCAAACATTGTAAAAATCCATTTTCATTTTTCTGCTTATATAGGTAAAACTTGCTTAGCAAAATAACTCAAGGAAGTAAAATAATCGTTTGCCGCTTTGTAACTGTCGCTAAAGTTCTGTAACGTGTAGTCCGAAGGACTTTATGGAACTTAATGCGAGAGTAACTAATTTTAACTAAACTGATGTAGTTGAAGGAGCGTAGCAAGTGAAGGTTCACGGTCTCTGTCTAATCCAGTGGGAGACAGACGTGATGGTATCTATGTATGTACAGTTGCAGTGCCACACAGGGCTTTAAATCGCAAAGATATGAGAGACCCTAGCGCCTGTCACCCTTAGACATAACAAGTCACATGTGCCTGTAATTTCACCAGCACCCTTGACCCTTTAAAATCGGAAAGCGGTCATGTTCACATTACTGCTTGAGGCAGCAAATAGGTAAGATGGCAGTACTAAATATTTGTTTATGTAAAAATGAAATAAATATTAATAATAAAATAATGTGCCAGACTACGATACCAATTACCTGATCTCTAGCTGGGACTCCAGCAACAGAACACGAATGCTCCGAAGCACTGCCCAGATCAAAATCAATTTAGAAAAGTTCATTTCCCAAATTGGTCCTGCCGGGAAGGAGGACCCGGGGGTCCTCCTCCCTCAGAGGTTTACAAGAGGACGGATTGTAGATTCACCGGATGTCTCAAGCATTTTATAAGCCGTTTCCATCTTCTCTGTATTATATTAATGCACCACCAAAGCCCGTGAGGTAGATAATTAATTTAAATTTTATTACAATAGCCTTAAAAGTCCTAACTTTATAAATGTGTCGCTTTAATCTAAAGCAAAACACAATTACTTACTTCTACTTAAGCTTAATGAAAACGAGGCTTAATCGTTGTAATGGATTATTAATTACATGTAATGTACTCGAAGTAGTTGTTCCTAAAACTATAGGATTTGTTTGTAGCGTGTTCTTTTCATTAATAAAATTTTGATGACAGTTTCTAGAATAATGGGACGAAGTTCGTGCGCCTGGTGGTCAGCGACACGCATGTTCACAACAGTTGCAGTACCATTTAGTGCTTTAATCACAAAGATCTTAAAGCCATCACTGCCAGTGCGCCTGTCACCATGAGACACAAGTTGACAAGTCCCATATGCCTGTCATTTCACCAGCACCCTTGGCCTTCAATACCGTAACACAGTTTATCTATCTATCCAACGATGTCCGGTCAAGGCGACCACTTCGATTCCTAGTTAAGTCGGCGCTGATGCTCCTGAAGATGACCAATGTAGCCAATCTTCGCTGCGAACATTGAGCGCACGTGAGTACACCGCCAACGGATTATAGTTAATAACGGAGCCTGAGTGGGTCTTTACTTCGTCACGTTTCGCGTCGAGTTCAGCTTTACGCCGCTCTTCGAACTCGTGGACTTGCCTCTTCACAATCCCTCGTCATTCAGGGCGCAGTGCTGCCAAATCTTCCCATTGAGACGGCTTATGTTGTATTTTCTCATATGTCTCTTCTAAATATCTTTATACCTGAGGAGTTGACCGCCAGACTTCCGCCTACCGTCCTCAATTTCAAAGTAGAAGATGCGCTTCCCCAGTCCACCGTCCGCCATATGTGATACGTGACCGCACCACTAAATGGTGCGTAACACAGTAATGCTTACATTGCTGCTTGGTGGCAGAAATAGATAATCCATTCCAATCTAGTTCATTTGAACTAATCTTCAAACGAAGCAAATCGAACATTAGAGTGTACCATGAGCTGATAATGCAAGCATTGCCTCGTTTTGTGGTCTAATTTCATCATAACTTTGTAATTACAGGTAAAAGAAGATTGGAAATACGTAGCGATGGTGCTGGACCGGCTGTTCCTGTGGATCTTCACGCTGGCCGTCCTTGTGGGCACGGCAGGCATCATCCTGCAGGCGCCGACGCTGTACGACGACAGAGTGCCGATTGACAAGCACTTTAACCAGATCGCAGCATCGTCCCTCGTGCGGTGTCCGCCGCCGGCTTAAAGCGGCATCACAACAAGGGCTTTCTTTGTCACGTTCACTAGAGGCATAGTAAAAAGAAAACAGCAGCAAGTTACTAGTTTGTCCGACAATATCGTCTGTCGTGCTATAAAATTAAAAATATATGTAGTGACTCGCGCTATTGGTGCACATATTTACATATTTACAGCTTGCAGCTATTTTCTTTTCACTGTAACAAATCTGCAGATATGAAACTCGTGGTAGGATAGAAGTATTAATATCAAACCAAAGACCTAATATCGTATTCAACCTCTAGAGCCGTTGACAATGGTAGCTCCAATTTGAATCAAGATACAGGAGGCCTTCAGGCCGCAGGAGGCTCAAAGACGGCAAGAGACCGTCGAAGACCCAACGCACACCCGTCCCGCCCCGCACGTGTTCTATTCCACGACACGTTTAGTTTTATTAAGTACCTATTAACTATAATCTTAAACTCTTCATCTTCCAAATCGCACTTAGCTCTTAACTTCATACCTTAATACGTTGTTCTCAATAGTTACATTGGATAATTTTCTGACCCTTATTAGATCCAGAGCATCTTTGTGGCACCAGCAATGTCGCCTTCCTTTATTAACGGAAGGGACTAAAGAAGAAGGGGTTCCAAGAGATTAGGCATTGAAACTGGCTTCGCCAGAAAGCGTTTATGGATTTAAAAAACATATAATTGTTTAATCGTGCAATTGTCCAATGACGCTAGTGAGAAAGTTTTCCATTAAATTCTTCGTCGTGTAAAGTTAAGGGTGTAGTTCGAAATCTGACCGCGTAATTAATTTATTGAAATGCTTAGAGCGAAAGATACTTACGTACACTTAAAAGTATTTGTTTCATATTATGTGGACTATTTAGATATATCACAATTAGATCAATGAAAATGGGATATATCGAATATGCCATTGTAAACTATGTGACCAGATTTCGTACTATCACTCTACGTTAAACTTATGAAATGAAACGAATTGTAATTTTTTTAAAACACATCACAATTGTTCCTAACACTCGATATCTAATTGTGACAATAATTTAAAGCAATCATTTCATTGCAAAGCGTTTACAGAAATTTTGTGACAAGTATTTTTCTCAAATAGACTGCAAGTTCATCCATACATTACCGTAACTAATTATAGGTAACGTAGGCATACAAGACAAGCTTAACGTGTACATACATATTGTTGAGATCTTAGGGTCGGCTACTACACATGACTAATTAAACAATGTTTTCGGGTATAAAACCACACATATCTGTTTTTTCAAACAAACAAACGTTTCAAGGTCCATAGATCCCATGGCCATGACTGAGATAATAACCGTCATTGACCAGTTGTCTAATGTATTTATTGAAATTTTTTGTGAAATGACTTCATTAGTTTTGTCAGGATTATGAATACAAAGATCGAAACACATAGATTTCTTTTGTATAATATAATCATAACAATTCCGGGGTCATTTAGAGGGCAAAGGTAAACTGGATTTACCTGCTGCGCTCTATAGAGCGAAGCAGTACTTCTTACCAGGCCACCGACTTTTGTTATATAAAACACAAGCACGGCCCCATATGAAGTATTGCCTGCTACTCTGAGGAGCTCCCAAATACCAGCTTGACCCTTTGATTTCATCCAATGTAGGGCTGGGGCCTACCACAACCTCTTAAAACAATATTACTTTAACCTTACATTGATCCTGTCAAGCGACTCGTCTGCTCGTTTGCCGCCTTTCTTACATAAAAAAAATTGACTTTTCGTACCATAACGTGCTTAAAGTGAGCTTATTATAATGTTAAAACTATGATGTTTTATTGGCAGCTTTGTGACTTTGTGATTGCTCTTATGTCAAATTTAACAATCTTTAAATAGTTACACGGATGCAATGGAAACAATATTATTTTCAGTCTTATTGTCTTAATATTGATTTGTAATTATTAAAAGTTAAGTTGAACTTATTTTTTTACATTATATCTCTTCAATATTTTTTATATTGATAATATTTATTTTTTATCTAAATGCACATAGGAAATAATTTCTCATTAAATAAAAATACGCGATGTTTATTTCGTAAAATTATGACACCGCCATCTATATGCAGCTTGGCGAAATTCTCTGAATGTAAACATTATTAAGTACTCTAACATTATACTACGATAGGATTATTCGGAACGTCAAAAAAGAAAGAGATGGCGTTATACAGTTCATATAGCGTTATTTCTTTCCTATTTTAGTAAGAAATAGACAATATTGGGAAATCATTCGTTCTTTCAGTTACTTTAGCAATAATACATTACTTGGTTGATAGGTTTATCATGGTACGACTATGGGTACTATTATAATAAGCTTACTATAAGCTTACATTGAAATAAGATTGTTTTTTGAAAGGTTATATATAGTCCCCCTGTTCATATTGTCGACGATCCCCAACTCGCACGGTATGGAGCCCCTTAGCCTACGGAGAGATGTTGGCTCTCTGTGTGTGTTCTCGGTAGAACGGTTCTCTGTAATGGGAGTGCTTTGAGGAACTTTTTGAACTGGTGCCACCATCTCGGTTCCAACATCGCACCTCCCGCCAAAAGCGTAGAGTCCATCCCCATATCTTAGATGCCAGGTAATGTAAGACAACGCGGGTATCTCGTTCGTTCTTTCCTCGAACCTGCAAGATATGGAATGATCTTCCTCCTGAAGTATTTTCTTTGCGCTATGACATGAGGTTCTTCAAAAAGCGTGTTTACAGGGCCCTCAAAGGCTGGCAACGCATTGGCAGCTCATCTGATGTTGCAAATGTCCATGGGCGACGATGTCCACCTCCCATCAAGTGGCTCGTCTGCTCGTTTGCGTCCTTCTTTACATAAAAAAAAACAGTTATCTAATGTTAATGTGAAACTACTCTACTCGGAACTATAGTTATAAACCGCCTAATTTGTAACTATAGTTCAGATTTTGGCGGTTTGCATTAATACTCTACGTTAAACTTATGAAATGAAACGAATTGTTATTATTTAAAAACACATCACAATTGTTCTTAACACTCGATACTAACTGTAACTGGTTGATAATTAATGGTACCTACTATCTCAGTCGGCCGTGACCATGGGACAAGTACAGGGCCTGACAAATTTGTTTGAAGAAAATTTAGAAATAAAAATTGTGGACCTGAAAAAACCAGCTGATAGATTTCAATCGTCTGGCCTCAAAAAAAGGGGAGTGTTCTACTCTGAAAGCATCCAGAACACCCAGACGAACATTTCTTAGAAAAGATACCTTCCTACGTAGGCCCTACCACCGAGGCTAATATGTTGTATATAGGCGACCGAGCTCGACAAATAAAATTCACGGTTGTTATCATAGATCTAGGCGTTAGCTGTACAGAAGACGTTGGCTAGTATTACAGCGCTAACTAAGGCGGTTTCGTTTCGTACAAATATAATAGAAGAGATTCCAAATATTTAGGACAATGTTCGTTATTCATTATCCCACAGGTCTCTTTAGGTTGAAATCAAGTTTCCTGGTTTGTTGGAAATGGGAAAATGATTACATATCGTAATCGTTGTCATTTCATTGTGGTGCCTTCTTTATGCATCTCTGTTTAGGTGCAACTTGAAGAAGACAATACTATATACCTCCAGCTGTAATTATGCTGCGCCTAGCCCGAGGTTTCCTAGTGTAAATCGGTTTTCGAACAATTTAAAACCCAATCGAATAGTAACTACGACTCTAGAAATAGTATTAAGAAATCGACGAATCACCACCAAAGTAATATTGTCTGTGTTCAACGACTATACAAATATTTTGCTGATAATATTGTATGTAGATATGTAGCGTCATCGACCGACCCTCATTAAGACATGGCAACGGCAAAAAACTTATTTTTCTCGCGTTTGTCTGTATCCTGACTACACATGGTCCTTTATTTCTCTCCTACTTCGGCAAGGCATGTATTTAAATGATCTTTTTAAATTTGCAAAAGCAGATGGAACAATTAATATAATTATATGAAACATAATAAGCAATATTGTTTATTTAAAAAAGTAATTTCTTGGAGGATCGAATAATATTATTTTCTTCGGCAATGTCACACAGCATTGATGACATTGTGGCCAAGCGCGCGTTTATATTTAATTATAAAAAGGTAATTTAAAACAACCGTAGTGTGCCGAAGTCAATGGAAGTTTACCTGAAATCATAGTATACGTAACTACCTATACAAGCACCTCGCCTCGCTTTATAAGGAACAATGCGACAATTTTAATACCGATCTCATATTTTATTAATATTAGCGCTTAATTAGACATCGAAATTGAACTTTACTTAGTCTAAGAATAGGTTTCCTTCTATCTCTTAAGTATGACTACTATTCTGGATCATTCCTTCTAAGATACCACCTCTTCTGTGTAATAAAAATCTGTTATAATTTGTCGTAAAATAGAACATGTACATTTGAATAAAAGAACTATATCGATTTTATTATTTATAGGAAAACCATAGAGTTCGTCACTCGTAAATTAAATGATATGTAAGAAATATTTTATTATTTAATTATACTGAGATAAAGCAATCATATATTTATTTACATTTTATTATTGAAATGAAAAGTTTCTTTGTAATAAATGAAAGATTAAAAATATACAATGCCGAAAGCAACATCCTTATGATAACTAAGTACAATGTAATAAATGATTTACTTTAAGCGATGGTTGCTCAATTTTATGAATGCGTTTTCGACTAAAACATCTACGACAACATTTTTGTCATGTTATGTTTTTTAATAGAACAATTCTTTGTAAAGCGAGTCTTTGTTTGAATAATATATTATTGAGCAAACAATGTGGTCAATATAATAAATAAACGTTCATGTAAATATGTATTGCTACTTAGGCACGCCCGTAAAAGTTTAACCGTGCCAAATTTTGGACAGGAATTGATGATAATTAAAAAACAATTTATTAATGTCAGCTGTAATAAAATAAAATTTAAAAAAAGTTTGTACAAAATATAAAAGAAAATGAAAAATAAGATGGCTAATATAAATGCTTTTCGTGTTAAATGTGAAATGTAAGTGTATGAAATAGATACAGGCACCGGTCACTTTAACAGAAGTGACACCATAAGAAATTACTATAGGATGTATCGGTGCATAGTCTGCACCTTACGAGTAAATGGAAACAATATGAGCAAATTATTTAGAAAAATTTAACGTTAAGCACATTGACTGCTCGCAGTAGAGTAGCGCAGCTCAATTGTAGGGATGTAAGTTTGTAATTATCTATTTATATTGTTAATAAAACCGTTATAAGATAGATTTTTCGTATTTTATTTTACTGCCCTACTTTATTCAGTCACATAAATAAGACGCCAAACATAAAAGTACAAAATTTTATTAAACGTATTATAGTCTCACAATAGCTGCCGTAGTGGCGGAACTTTAAGTATATAATAGTAAGCACTCGTGCCATTTATTCATTCATACTCATTACACACAAATAAAATCAGTTTTGATCAAATTTTAACAAATTAAGGATTGGCAAAAACATTTCGCGCATTTTTCATATTCACTTTGTTAAAATATTCTTTTGAATGTCTGCTGCGCTCTATTATACTCTCAGCCTCTTTCGCGCTCATAGCATTGTCTTCTTCGCTACCAGAACCAAAAAACAGCGAAAGTAAAGATAGTCCATCCGTATCCGTTTCTTCATCATAATCGTCATAATCAGGTATCTCTGTGGTGGTAGTAGTAGTAGTAGAAGTAGTAGTATGTGCTGACGTGACAGCTGGTGGAGGTATTGAAGGTGCTCTAGACATGTAATTTTTACTAATAGGAGGATTAACACCAATACCATTAAGTCCCTGTGCGTGTGCTGGTACTGAAGGCTGCGGAACTTCCGATTTTAGTTGTTTAAATGTCTTATTAAGATTATCTTGAGAGCTATGTAAACTTTTCTTTTGATCTTTCGTTAAATGGCTAATATTCATAGCTTCCTTAGTCGAGTTGACTTTTTGTTGTTTATAAGCTGATTTCAACTTTTTCGGCATCTGAGTAGCAATTGATTGAAAACTGTTTACTACATTTACATTTGCTTTTACTTTTTTTGTATTTTCTAATTTCTTATTGACCTGGACATCGTTGGACACAAAAGCATGGCCTTGGCTTTTAGTTGAATCCACTGTTACCTTTCCTTCCGTTATTTGACTTACAGTGTTTTGGAAACTGTTTTGTTCATTGGTTGATTGGTTGAATATGTTTAAAGCTTCTTCCGTTAACTTTACTATCTGATATGTGTCCACTGGTTTAAATTCCTCCACTACCTGATTAGTAATTGACTGGAAACTATTGGCAATATCGACATCTTCTTTCCGTTGCTCTAAATCTTCAAATGTGTTACTAACTTTCTCTTGGGTATTATTAGAATCAAAAACCTGCTCTTGTTCTTTTGTTGTGTTTTCTGTTTTCGATTCTTCGATTATTTGACTTGCAGCGTTTTGGAAACTGTTGACAACATCAATATTTTGATATTCTTTTTCTGAATCTTTAAACATATCATCAATGCTTGCCTGGACGTTATTTGAAACATAGTATGTTTGTTGCTCATTAGCTGATTGGCTGAATATGTTTGTAGCTTCTTTTACTGTCTTTACAATCTGATCAGTATCCACAGGTTTCGCCTTTTCGATTACTTCATTAGCAATTGATTGGAAACTACTTTCAATATCTTCATTTTCTTCCTGTTTCCTTGAATCCTCAAATATATTATTAGCACTTTCCTGGATAATACTAGAAACAAAAGCCTGCTCTTGTTCTTTCGTCGTATTTTCTGTTGTCGATTCTTCCATTACTTGAGTTGCAGCGTTTTGAAAACTATTGACAACATCAATATTTTTAAATTCTTTTTCTGAATCTTGAAATATATCATCTACGCTTTCCTGGACGGTATTTGAAACATAATAGGTTTGTTGTTCATTGTTTGATTGGCTGAATACGTTTGTAGCTTCTTCAGTTGACTTTACGATCTGATCAGTGTCCACAGGTTCTGACACTTTAATTGCCTCATTAGCAATTGATTGGAAACTATTTACGAGGTCTGCAGTTCTTTTTTGTTTCTTTGAATCCTCAAATGAATTATTAATATAATCTTGAATACTATTGGAAATGAAAGCCAGCTCTTGTTCTTTTGTTGTATTCACTGTTTTTGATTCTTCCGTTATTCTACTTGCAGTATTTTGAAAATTGTTGGCATTATCGACACTGTCACATTCTTTCTCTGTGTCTTGAAATATTTTATCAACACGTGCTCGAATGTGATTAGAAACATATTTTTGTTCTCTGATGGTTGATGGACTCAATACGTTTATAGCTTCTTTAATTAACTTTAGTATCTGATCAACGTCTACTGATTTTGACTCATTCATTATCTGGTTAGTAATTGCTTGGGAAGTACTTGCAATATCTACATTTTCTTTGTGTTTCCTTGAATCCTCAAATATATTATTAGCA